AAAAGAAAATCTTTTATGAAAATTTAAAAAAAATGTTTTTTTATTATTAAATTTTTTTTTTTTAATTGTATTATGTCGTGTGTTCAAAAGAGTTGGGGAAATTAAATTGGTATAATGATAGTGACTTTTGGAGCGCATAACAATCGTAAATCACAACTGTCCACCCCACGCTGGTGATACTTGTCACATTCTCTCGACGGAAACAAGAGCCATTATTATAATTATGCTAATATCAGTGTTCATTTTGTTACTGACATCAACATTAACTATCATTTTTAAATACAATGCTAATTAGAGAGCTATTTTTCCTTTTGAAACGTTAGCTTTAAAGTTTGCCGCCTCTCTCTCTCTCTCTCTCTCTCTCTCTCTCTCTCTCTCTCGCTCTTCTCGTATAAATTCCAGCAATGCTCATGAAATGCAAGTATATTCTAATTTGACATGTTTCTCGTAAATTTTTTCAACAACCGATACCCATCACTTGCAAACTTCTGTTCTGACCTAAATAGATTCCTGGTCACGTGATATGTAGTAAAAATTTTACATTTACGACATTATAATAAAGCAGAATTATTATAATTGCAAATTTAATTTAAATATTTTGAAATTATTTGAATAGGAAATTATTGTGTTTGACTAAAATTTGTTTTTACTACTGATAGTAAAAATACAATTTTTTTTTAATGATTTCGTCTGTATGAAACGTACTTTTACTACTGTTATGTAAAATTAGAAGAATTTAAGTATTAAGTCTGACTAAAACCTGCTTTTACTACTGATATTAAAATGACCCATGAATTCGTCTGACTGAAACGTACATTTACTACTGTTACTAAAATTAGAAAAATAAATTAACTAAAATTCGCTTTTACTACTGATACTAAAATTATCTAACTTTCAATACCTTCGTCTGACTGAAACATACTTTTACTACTGTTACCAAAATTACAAGAATTTAAACTATTACGTCTGACTAGAAATTGCTTTCACTACTTATTTTAAATTAACAAAAGTTAAAATGTTAAAAACGTTGTCTGACTAAAATTTACTTTCTCCACTGATTTCAAATTGAAAAAGGTTAAAAATGTTAGGACTGTCTAAAACTTGTTTTTACTACTGCTACTATAAAAACCAAAATTTTAATGCCTCAGTCTGTCTGAAACATACTTTTACTACTGATAATAAAATTAGAAAAATTTAAATTATTACGTCTGACTAAAAATTGCTTTTACTACTGTTATTACAAATACTAAAATTATTATGCTTCTGTCTGTCTAAAACATACTTTTACTACTAGCGCTAAAATGACGAGGATTTAAATAATTAGGTCTTTCTAAAAATGGTTTTTACTACTGATAATAAAAATACCAAAATATTGATGCTTCCGTCTGTCTAAAATACACTTTTACTACTTATTTTGCATTAACAAAAGTCCTGCCTCACGAAAATTGTTTTTTACTAGTTAGATAAAAATTATGTCTGACTAAAATTTGTTTTTACTACTGATACTGAAAATACAAGAATTTAAACAATTATGTTTGACAGGAACTGACTATTTCTACTTATAGTAAAAATACAAGAATGAAGAATTTAATCAATTCTGTCTGACTATATCCGTTTTTAACTACTTATTAAAAAGTGACAAGTATTTAAAAGAGTCTGCCTGACAGAAATCGGTCTTTACTACTTATTCTAAATGTAAAAAAGTTGAAGCTTTAATAGCATTGTCCGACTAAAACCGTATTTTACTACTTATATTTTAAATTGACTAAAGTTAATAGCATTGTCTGACTAAAATTCAATTTCTCTACTGATTTTAAATTGATAAAAGTTTAATATTCTGTCTGACCAAAACCTACATATATTACTGATTTCGATTGACTAGAATTAGAAACGTTATGTCTGATCAAAACAGTTTTTACTACTTAGATAAAAATTACTAGTTCTGTTTGATTAAAAATCTCTTATACTACTTAATCACATTTTTTTTTACTGAACATCCTACTTATTGCTCCTGTCACGAATATTAAAATTAAGTTTCACTAACATTATTATTATTATTATTTTATTATTTGTGACTGACTGAAACTTTCTGTTACTAAACAAATGAGAAGAATTGAGTCTTGCTAAACAATAATTTTAAAAAACTATAGACTAAAACTACAAGGAATATTTATAGTCTGACTATAACGGACTTTCACTACTTAAATGAAAACGAAAATAAAATATTCTATTTAAAATCAATATTTATTAGAATATATTAAATAAACAAAAAAATTGTTAATTATTTAGTAAATTAATTTTTGTCCACAGTGTTATATTTAAATTCATCCCGCTTTTTTATTGCAATACAATTTCTTTTATTTACGTAAAGCCATTTTGCTTAATAAAGAGAAAACAAACTAAAGCAGGCAAATGAATTGTATAGGAAAGTTGAAACTTCAATTGTACTTGAGACTAAGTAAATGTAAGTCAATAATACTTTCTTGTGGTTAAGCGTAAGCTTCGAAAGTTTGCAAAAGGGAAATCGTTATCTGTATGGTGAGAAAGAGAGTGAGATAGAGAGAGAGAGAGAGAGAGAGAGGGGAGAGATGAATAAAAGGAGAAAGGAAAGCTTGAGAATCTTGGTATTGCTCAGCAAAACAGTTTTGTACTTAAGGTGTACGTAAGCACGACGGCTTCTATTCCAGTAGTTGAATTTGCATACATAGGATGTCTCTTTCGAAGATTCGCGATGTGGGTATGGAGGGCGGGGGGGGGAGTGAAAGGGGTAGGAGGATTTTACCCTTGCTACCGTGAAGATAACGTCGAGCCGCTATCAAACTCGGATGATATTGCGAATATCGTCAAAGTTTCCCTCTCTGGTCCTTAATTTGCGACACACGAGAAGTTGTGTGTTCACCGTATAGTATTCAAGCGACAACCGAGTAATTTACGATGCATCTTTGGTCTTATCTCTCTTCACTCCTTTCTTGATTGACTTAGAATGTTTAAGACCGCCAGCAGTTTTCCAATCAACCCTAATAATTTTATCACGCCTCACAAATCTTTTCGTTAAACTATTTATAGATAAACAAACGATTAGTTTCAAAATCGATATATAAATATGCCACTGAAAACAGGGGTTTGATTTTGACAAAAAAAAAAAAAAAATTGGGAATTATTAAATTTGAAATTTTTTTACTTGACGAGATTAATTTGAAGTTAACAAAATTTCACATTTCTCTGTTCTTTTATGAAAATAGGGAGATATAAAATTTTCATGAATTATTATTCTTTTCGAGTAAGAAATTTTCAAATTTAATATTTTCGAAACGAAGCAAAATACCTTTTGTCATATTTTAATAGCAGATAAATTTTATTTATAAAAAACGTCACATTTTTTGGAACTTCCACTCTCTAAATTTGAATTAGTAAAAATGTTTACTAATTTGAATTAGTGACTCACTTTTTGCTTCTGAATAAGTAAAATTTTACAAATTATTAGTAACTTTTACTAAAAATTTACATTTAACTAATTCTAAAGCAAAAAGTGAGTCACTAATTTAAATTAGTAAAGATTTTTACTAATTCAGATTTAGAGAGCAGAAAAAAATTATTTAAAAATAATTACTAGGTAGATCAAATTAATTTACCTGAACCGAATAATTTTTATTTGAATTAAATTGTATATTTGAACCAATAAATTTTGTATTTGAAATAAATACTATTTGTTACTAAAATAATGTTTTTTTTCATTTTATTAGATAAGTTTGTGTCAAATGAAAAAATAAATTTAAAGAAAGTGATTCCATTAGTAGGTTTGTAACAAAATTTTACACTTTCTCGAAAAAAATTGAAAACTTTTCAAATCCCTCAAAGTAAGTTCGGGCATGTGGACTTTAATTGAACGAGTGAAAAAAAAAGTTTTTTAAATACTTACATCCAATGCAGGATGATGTCTTTCTCTCTCTCTCTCTCTCTCTCTCTCTCTTCTCCTCTCTTAAACTTCTTCCCCTTAAATCTTTAATAATCCTCACCAAACTTCTCAGGCAATCCTGCAAGATTACGACCAGTTGTCGTAAAATTTTTTGATATTCGGAATTTTAGATTCCTATGAAGACTCTTTTTTACGGGGCCATGTCGCTACTGGAGTATGTAGATTTTTTCACGATTCATCTCTTTTCATATTACTTTTCTGATCCAAAAGTGGTTACATTTTTTTATTTTATATACGATGTTACAGAAAAAAAAAATTTACCCCTAATTCAATAATAAATATACCTACTTTTTACAATCTTAATTTCCACAATTTTTTTTTTTAAATTAATATTTATGAAAAACTTTTTTTTTTTTTTATTGAAAATCGATAAGTCAAGAATGTAGAAGGAAATTCTTTATGCGCCTATAGAGGACTACTTAAATTATTCCTGAGAAAATTCCAGAAAAATGAATTTATTAAATTTTTATCTCCACTTAGAAAAAAAAAACTGTGCAGGACCTGAAGAATAAGATGAAGAAAATGTTAAAGTAGGTGTACTTTGTACTGTGAAAATATCCAGGACAAAAAATCGCATCTCCAGAGATTTTTTCTCGTTAACCAGTCATTGTCTTGAAAGATTCGTTACTTTACAAGTTCACAATGGTTGGCAATCGTGGGGGGATTCCAAAGAGAGTAAAAAAAAAAAAGAGAGAGAGAGAGAGAGAGACATCCTTTGACTTTTCATCAAAGCGGAATTAATTTTTCTTCCTCGTAATGATCTTTCCTTCCCGATAATTCTTGTCTCTCCTAGATTTCAACGCGAATTAATCATCCACTGTATTATTCATCTCGCGACCTTATACTCAATATAATTTTACATTCTAACGAAAGTCATTAAAAATATTCATTTTTTTTTTCAAATGGAAATTTTATATAATTTTATAATTGTATATTTATATTTTTTATAATTTTTGGATAAATTTATTATTATATTTTTTAAGTTCTTGAAAAATAAAATGGAATTTTTTTTTCCTGATTTCAGATAACAACAAATAAATATGATTCACAAGGAGTGTACAATAGAGACACGACTCGACAATGGATCGAAATTAGCTTGCTTCTTCATTCATCTCATTACCACAACGGTCAGTTGAGTCTACGATGTATAGCGGAAATTGCTGGCGTATATTCACAAACCAGCGAAGTCCAATTGGGAGCTGGTCTGCGTGAGCCCGTTCCTGAAAGAGGTAAACAGACATTCGGTAAAGACTAATTTCACTGAGATGAACCCTTTTTTTCTCCCATATAGTTATAAAAATTATCTACAAAAAAAAAATCCAAAAAAAGGAAAATTGCTAAAATTTATTTTTGACAATCATAATTTTCTCTATTCAAATTTTACATGATTCGAAACGAAAATAAAAAATATATTTCTAAATGTAATCTTTCTACCGAAAAATAAGAAAATTAAATTACCACTGTAACTTTTCAAAAAGAATGTAAATTAAATATATATATATTCCGTTTAATTAGAATAGCCATATAATGAAAAAAAAAAAGTTTCGCAAAAATGAAAAGTTTTTAAATTTAATAATTTGCAATTTAAAAATTGCACAAGTTTAACTCATTTAAACTCTCGTTAATTTGAATATATACAGAAAATTTTCATCTACTTTTTCGAAAAATATAAAATTGTAAATAGAATTGTTTTCTTAAATTTTTCTATTTCAAATTCTACTTCTCTGAGACATTAAAAAAAAAAAGTAAATTCTATAGAAAAGGGTTTTTTTTTGAAGAATTGTAAATTTTTTCTCCTTTATGGACAAAAGAGGCAAATTTTCTAATAACATTTTGAAAGATGCAAAAAAAGAAGTTGAATATTGATCGATTGGAGAATAAAGACTTTAATTAAAGCTGATTTAATGGATTTGAGCCAGACTTCACGAAATCAAAAAGGTATCGCTTACCCATCAACGAAATTTAATTAACCGATTAGCTTACATGCATTCATCCCCTAGGCTGTAATATCCGAGGCTCTTGGTGGCAATTATAAAGCTTGCAAGGGTTCTATCGTTCACATTATGGACGACATCCGTGAAATTTCGACTATATACTGTATCGTAATATTCAACAAACAAAAAAAACCAACCCCTTTTTATCGTCGTCAACCCAGGTGAAAAAATTATCGTTACTAACGTTACTAATGTTACTGACATTACTAATGTTACTAACGTTAGTACGTATAAAAAAATTAAGAGTTTCTAAAATATTTTTTCTCAGAAACTTTGCCACTACTTTCCCATTACCACTTTCACTTCCACTTAAACTTTTATAATTATCATTCTCATTTCCACTTATACTTTTTTTAATTCTCATTCGCACTTCCATTCTCACTTCTATTCTTTCTAATTCTCATTCCCACTTCACTACCACTTTTTCTAAATTTCATTCTCATTTCCACTTCCACTTTTTTATATTCACTGCCACTTCCACTTTTTCTAATTTTCATTCCCATTCCTATTTCCACTTCCAGGTTTTTATATTCATTGCCACTACCACTTTTTCTAATTGTTATTCACACTTTCACTTCCACTTGTTCCAATTTTCATTCCCATTTCATCTTTTACTTTTTTATTTTCATTACAACTTTTTTTTATTTTCACTCTCACTTCCATTCCTAATTTTTTAAATTTTCATTATCACTTTCACTTTTTCTAATTTCCATCCATGGTAATTAAAAAAAGTGGAAATGGTTGTGTAAATGGAAATTAGAAAGTTTTAGTCGAAATGGCAACAGCTAATGAAAATTAGAAGTGGAAAAAATGGGAGTAGAAGTGGGAATGAAAATTAGAAAAAGGGAAGTGGGAATAAAAAATTAGAAAAAGTGAAAGTGGAAGTGAAAGTGGAAATGAGAATTAGAAAGAGTGGAAGTGGGAATAAAAGTGCGAAAGAGAATTAGAAAAAGTGAAAGTGAAATCGGTAATGAAAATAAAAAAGTGGAAGTGATAATAGAAATGAAAATTATAAAAAGTGCGGGTAAGAACATTAAATACTTCCTGGTGGTCGATTTTCGACAAGTTTCTGCAAAAATACAATTTAGAAACATTTTCTTAATTTTTTTATAGGTACTAACGTTAGTAACATTAGTAACGTTAGTAATATTAGTAACGTTAGTAATGTTAATTTTTCTACCTAGGAATTGACATAAAAAAAATGGTTAATATTTTTTTTCCCTGACAAATTAATGTCAAATACATTAAGAGCTCTAAAAACTAATTTCTTAGAATTTTCATTTGATCAGAAGAATTTACTTTTTAATTTCAATTTTTTCAAATCAGAATTTTCAATTCTATATTATTTTTAATTAAACGAATTCCATAAAAAATTTTCTAAAATTCCATTTTCTCATTAATTTTGAAATTGTCAATTTAAAACAAATTGAATTTCCTTCCCCGAGTGGAAAATGAACCATATATACTGAATTTCGGTTTTATATTGTTTTTGTTTTTTTAAACCAAGAATGTGTGCTTTGTGATAGAAGAAAACGGTTCGTTTAATTTAAAAGGTTGTTTTCTGTTTACGAGTTATTTTATGTCTGAGCGTCGTTCACACTTAAAAAGGGGAAAAAGAAAATGTCTATAGGAGAAAAGAGCCATTTTCGTTCCCGAGCTTTTCGAGAATGTCGTTTCTTATCAGAACCTTCTTGTCCTGGTCGTTTTCCTCTCTCTCTCTCTCTTTCCCTCGTTGTACACGGAAGATTAGCGACACTGGTATTCGGGTAATTCGCGAAGTCGACTAAGATGGCGTGTGTGTGGCTAAAGTTCCACCAGAGAGAGAGAGAGAGAGAGAGAGAGAGAGAGAGAGAGAGAGAGAGAGAGGATCTACTGGCATCTAAGTTTCGTACGAGGTTCCAAATCTTTTGCTACCTATATATATAAGACTTTACTCTTGTTGTCTCAATATTAGACATTAACAGGACTTGTATTAGTATTAACGTCACTACCTATTTCTAACACTAACCGATGCAAAATTTAGGTTAAATTGCAAAGCTGATTATTATCGAAAGTCCTTTGTCCCATATTCCCAAGGAGATTAAACTGATTCTAAGAAAATCTTTAATTCATTATTATTATTATTATTATTTAATACAATTCTAAAGATATACAATATTCAAAAATGATTTTCCAGAAGTTCCAATACTCTTGGAATATTTTCCAAAAAAAATTTTAATAGAAAAAATTTCTTTCCACCCGAAGGGGAATCGAACCCTCGAACCTATCCACGCAACTAGGAATTAATTCTCAGGAAATTTTTCATTTAACCAATTATTTATGTTTTTAATTTTTCAAAAAATTATTCGAAAAAATAAATTTTCTACTGCCAAGACTGCAAATATATATATATTAAATTTTGAAGTTTACTTTTTATTAAGTTTATCGAAAATGTGAGGCATTAATATATGAAGCTCGGCATATATGAAGACTCAGGAGCGTAAATTTTATAGGGTTCTGAACAAAGACAGAACATGTCTATAGGTAAAAGAGAGAAGCATTACGAGGCTCGTTATCAGACCTTTGCATACCTGATTATTCGACCCGTTTTGCGCTCGTGTAAACGGCTTCGTGATGGAGGAAACTTGCGCTGGTAGTCTAACGCCTACCTTTTGCTTATCGACTTGAAAGTCCTGCGAATTTCTTGACTAGAAATAGCTCATCATACTCAGAATATAACAAAGTTTCAAATAAAATATGCAAGAAAAAATGATTTTTTCGTTATTATGTAATCAGGAAATAATTTCAAAAAGATATAGTTTATACCTAATCACAGAATAATTGATGTGTTAAAATGTAAAATTAAGTTAAATTTTTTCCACAAAAAAAATATTTAATGGCAGCCAAACACGCATTTCTAGAAAGTTCAATTAGAAATTATTTTTTATACACTGAAAAAAATTTATAATTAGGTAATTCAAATAATCGATTACTTGACTATTATCAAAAAGAATTTACGAAACTAGTTCGCGAATTTGATAATGATATTCGATAAACTAATTCCCGGAATTTGCGAAAATAGATGACAGATTTGTGAAAGTAGGTCGCGGAATTCGCGAATTTGATAACGATATTCGCTAAACTTGTACGCGGAATTCGCAAAAATATATCATGGATTAGTGAAAGTAGGTCGCAGAATTTCCGAATTTGATAACGATATTAGATAAACCAGTTCGCGGAATTCGCGAAAGTAGATCACGGATTAGTGAAAGTAGGTCGCGCAATTTGCGAATTTGATAACGATATTAGATAAACCAATTCGCGGAATTTGCGAAAATATATCACGGATTTGTGAAAGTAAGTCTCGGAATTCGCGAATTTGATAACGATATTGGATAAACTAGTTTTCGGAATTCGCGAATTTGATAATGATATTCGATAAACTAATTCGCGGAATTCACGAAAATAGATCACGGATTAGTGAAAGTAGGTCGTGGAATTTGCGAATTTGATAACGATATTAGATAAACCAGTTCGCGGAATTTGCGAAAATAGATCACGGATTTGTGAAAGTAAGTCGCGGAATTCGCGAATTTGATAACGATATTGGATAAACTAGTTTTCGGAATTCACGAAAATAGATCACGGATTAGTGAAAGTAGGTCGTGGAATTCGCGAATTTGATAACGATATTGGATAAACTAGTTCGCGGAATTCGCGAAAATAGATCACGGATTAGTGAAAGTAGGTCGTGGAATTTGCGAATTTGATAACGATATTAGATAAACCAGTTCGCGGAATTTGCGAAAATAGATCACGGATTTGTAAAAGTAAGTCGCGGAATTCGCGAATTTGATAACGATATTGGATAAACTAGTTTTCGGAATTCGCGAATTTGATAATGATATTCGATAAACTAATTCGCGGAATTCACGAAAATAGATCACGGATTAGTGAAAGTAGGTCGTGGAATTCGCGAATTTGATAACGATATTGGATAAACTAGTTCGCGGAATTCGCGAATTTGATAATGATATTCGATAAACTAATTTGCGGAATTCACGAAAATAGATCACGGATTAGTGAAAGTAGGTCGAAAAATTTGCGAATTTGTTAACGATATTAGATAAACTAATTCGCGGAATTCGCTAAAATAGATCACGGATAAGTGAAAGTAGGTAGCAGAATTTCGGAAATAGATCACGGATAAGTGAAAGTAGGTAGCGGAATTTGCGAAAATAGATCACGGATTAGTA